CCACATATACAAAGATCATTACTTTTCTAGATTTGTTCAGTATATTGTGTTAGAATTATTTACAATTTATTTTGGGGGGGAAAAACCTAGGTGATTCTCACCTTTACCATACTGCAAAGTACATTACAAAAAGATTAAAGGATTAACTTTTAAAGATCTTAAATTCCAGGAGAACATAAGTGATACAAGAAACCACATAAGAAAAGATAAATATGTTTAACTGAATATAAATATAACTTTTAAAAAATACTTAGTATTTTAATGCAACAATAAACTGTATATTTGTAATAGATATGTTTGAGAAGTAGTTAATATCTTACATAGAATAGTAATCAATAATAAACACATTAATGTTATAACATAAACATTAAGAGCATGATGGTTTTCAAAGAAGAAGATTGATAAATAAAAAAGTCATATGAAAATATATTTCTCTCTAACCAAAGAAAAAAAATTAAAACAATAAACCATTACCGCCTATAAAATAGCAAAATTTAGTCATTTTAGCCCTGGCTGGGTAGCTCAGTTGGTTAGAGCATAGTCCCAATATGCCAAGGTTGTAGGTTCCATCTCCAATCAGGGCACATACAAGATTCAACCAGTGAATGCATGAGTAAGTAGAAAAACTAATCAATGTTTCTCTCCTTTCCTCTCTCTCTAAGACCAATCAATAAAAAAAAAAATTTAAGTCAGTTTAAATGCCAGTGAAGTTTATGTGACTGATTTTAATTCCTTTTTAGAAACTTATAAATTATACAAATTTTCTACAATAAACATGATTTTATAATGAAAAAAATAACACTTTAATATATATATGGATGTGTATTTAATCTTTTTTCTCCAAGCACAAGACATGACGACTAAGAACTTTCCAAATTTTTAAGTTGACTTTACTGACACAATTTCTTATTCTACCGTATTTCAATAAATCTAAATATTGTTTGCTCCTTGAAAATAAGAATTAACAAAAGCAGAGATGTTTTCCAAGGTAATGACATCCTATGGCAATATTTCACAGCCAGGATAGGAAAGTACTTACCATGACAAGGGCTGTTTCGTGGAAAATGTTCTCTGTAAGGTCAACAACCTGTGCAAGTTTAACTTCATAATTGAACTTTGAGACATTGTCTGAGGTGTTAAGGTGAAGTGCTCTGGAATTGTTTAGGGTTCAGAGGAAATGGATTTGCCATAATAAAGGGAAATTTTAAGATAAATAGGTAATCAAGAAGGATGCTTTTTTTTTTTAGTGACACGTGTAGATTCTATCCATTGATTTCCAAATGTTAACATTAATCTCAGTGTAAACAATTTTCAAGTTTTTATGAAGAGCTCACAAAATAGATCCTTTAGAGAAGCAGAAAGTAAGAGTTATGTAGGAGTTTATTCATTATTTAATGAATAAATTTAATCACAAGCATAGCTTTTTATAAGCTGTTTACTTACATTATCTGGTTAACCCTTGTAATAACCCTCCAAAGTAAGTACACTTAATTATTTGTTTTACAAAAGAGGAGGAGCCCGGCCGGAGTCGCTCAGTTGGTTGAGCATCACCCTGTGCACCAAAAGGTTGCCAGTTTGATTCCAGGCACATAGCTGGGTTTCAGGTTCGATCCCCCGTTAGGGCTAGTACTGAGGGCAACCGATCAATGTTTCTCTCTCACATCTCTCACTCTCTCTCCCTTCCTGTCTCTAAGCATGTCCTCCGGTGAAGATTAAAAAAAAAAAAAAAAAAAGAGGAGGAAATTGGGATGCAGCAAGGCAAATGAGCCTGACCAGAGGTCCACCACAGGGACATGGGAGAGGCAGGATTTGGGCCCAGACAAATATGACTGTAAAGATTGAATTTTTACCCCTGACTCCTGGATTGCCCCCACATTATACCTTAGTAATCTTGACCTTCTTCCCAACAATTGGCTTCAGCTCCACAGAGGGAACTGTATAGTCTAACATAATCTGACCACCCTGCCCTTGCTTTGGGGTGACAAAGCAGACAGAACTGGGATTTTACATTCTGAGTGGGACTGAACCTTTGCTCCACCATTGTATTCCTAAGTGAGTTATTCCTTCACCTGTGAAATGGGTGGAAGTTCTACCTCTGAGAGCTGCTGTGACAATTGAGATACCAGATGTGAGAGATACCATATGTGAAAGCGTTTAGAACAGGTGCTTGGCAAATAATGGGTGTTTAATAAATATTAGTTTCCTTTCTTTCTTCTCTTGCCAGACAAAAGCCATCCTTCCTTTAGTGAGTTAGTTGGCATGAAAATGCTTTCATGGTTCTCAGTTTATCACAGAATCCTTAGAAAACTTACTCACTAGGTCCAATAGACTTTAGGCAAGGGATCTCAGAGGCTTCTAGTCCCAGGTTTGGGCTGGGTATGCTGTGGGAAGCCAAAACAGACGTTGAGATAACCTGATGTTCTACATTCTCTCTTTTCTGGATTTGAGCAGATTTTTTCTAATCTTACAGTTTCTGTGATTCTTGCTTCTCTCTCATCTCTCCTATACAACCGTGTCCCCCATTTCCAAAACCGGCTTATATGTCATTTCTCAAAGATGTCTTATCATTTCCTGTTCCCACACTTTTCTTCCTGCCAGGCGTTCTCTCTGAAATAACCTTCAACCAAAAATATACCCATTGAACTTTTACTTTCCTGGCCCAGCTTAAATGTCTCCTCCTTCATGATTGTGTTCTGGGCATTCTGAATGGACAAGACCTCAGTTTCTACTAAACCGCTGAGGCACTGGGTGTTATTTAGTTGTCAGGTTGCAGACACTTATGTCTTTTGCACCTTAAAATTGACTGAATAGAATAATGGTTTAAAATGGTGTGTGATTAGCAATCCCTTAAGTAGCCTCTCCCAGCTCCTTACTAAAATACCTTTGAAACCAGCAAAAACCGAATTTCTCACAAATACACTAAAAACTAAGGCCAGTAGACAATCTATTATCAGAATCACGAAGGAATTTCTGCCAATTTAAAGGCCAGAAGAAGTGGATTGATAAACTTTAAAAACTGGTTTTCCACTATAAATAGATTAAAATTTTCAGCCTGAAAGCAGAAACACTCTTTGCTCCTCTTCAACTATTTACCTTTTACCCAAAAATACAGGAGCCCTGTCACTTACCATCAACACACACACAAACAAAACAAGTGGAAGGGGGCAAACATCCCTCTAACAGATAGGTGATATTTTATGGGTAACCAGAATGTTGTCGAATAATCCCTAATGCAGTGATTCAAAGGAGTTAAAAATAGTAACTAGAAACAGTTTTTCAAGAACATGCCACAAAAAAACAAGTATGTCAATGTGAATTTTTAAAATGTTGATTAAAATTTACAGTGAAGATATAATTATGAATCTCTTCAAGAAATACAATATCCAAAATATATAAAGTAAAAACTAATAGAAATATAAGGAAAAATAACAAACAACTATTGTGAAAGACTCACATATACATCTCGGGCTTTGACAAATCCAGTAGGAAAAAAGTAAGTGCAAACACTAAAATAACCATCAAGTAAATGCAGCAATTAAAACTACAACTACAAACCATTTAGAAATTAACCAAAATGACAATATCACACATCAAATTATAGAATGATCAAAGCTGCAACCAGAGGCAGATTCATAGGAGGAAGGAACTGATAGGCTTTTCTTTAATGCATCTTTTGTTGTATATTTTAATAATTTCCCATTGCTTAAAATTAAACTCTAGCCTCTTGGATATTTTCTGATGTAGTACTCCATAATAAGCATGTAAAATATCATTCACAGGAAATAATATGCTGGAACTAGTATCTACTCTTACTGTATTTACTCCCATTTCTTTTGTCCTGTGTTGCCCTGCTCTCCATTTCCGTTGGACATCAACCACTTGGCACTATATTTAATCACCTGACATATACCTAAGGCCTCTTTAAATTTAACAATTCTTGTGAACACAATCTCTAACCTTGGCCCTCAGCCTTGCACATGCTGTTTAATAGTTACTCCGTGGTTCCACACAGCTAATGTTTCCAGTAAGAGGCACTCATACCTTCTATCCAAGCAAAAAGGTCTTGATAAACTGGAAGAGCCCTACCTCACCACAACAAAAAGAAGGTAATTACAAAGGGAAGAAATAATGTAACTCAGAATAAGGATCTGTGATCTCTTTGGTCCCTTGGGAGTTGATTACAAAATTAAATACCTGAACACATGGGCAAACACAGGCAAATATACATTCACCTATACATACATACATACATACATGGAGGATGCAAATGCTATCTTTTAGGGATTCACTCAGAAGTTATAAAAAATATACACTTTTAAACCTTTAAATTCTATTTCAATGGCAATAATTTGAACTAAAATATAGGGATTGGTTTTTTCCCCCTCAGAGCTTCCTATGTCCAGTAAAATCATAACTACAGAATATTTATGTCAAAAATATTAGATGGTTGCCTGACTGGCATGGCTCAGTGGTTGAGCAGAGACCTATGAACCAAGAGGTCATAGTTCAATTCCCAGTCAGGGCACATGCCCAGGTTGCAGACTCAATCCCCAGCAAAGGTTGTTCAGGAAGCAGCCGATAAATGATTCTCTCTCATCATTGATGTTTCTATCTCTCTCTCTCTCTCTCTCTGAAATCAATAAACATATTTTAAAAAATATTAGATGGTTATATTATTTATAAGCTGGACTCTCAGGCATACATCTAACTAACGTTGGCTTGTGTCATATCTGATTCTTTGATTCAAATGTGATGTTTACTTTTCCTAAAATTTTCATTTAATATGACAGAGTTATTTCCAACAATAAAATTGTCAGTTCCTTGTAAAGAAACTACGGATAGTTGCTATACTCAACTATGCTACCATAAAAGAAAAAGGCATGTGGTCCTTATTTCTGTAAAACTGCTTGTGAATTGTGTATATGTATAGAAAGACAATTTTGTGCAATCAAAACAATTCATGTGGTGTTTAAACTTAATAACATTCTTCTCCAATGTAGACGAGGGTCCAACGTATCTCTTACATTGGACATGAGTAGCCTGGGGAGTGTGGAACCCTTTGTGGCTGTACCAACACCACGGGAGAAGGTAGCAATGGAGTATCTGCAGTCAGCCAGCCGAATTCTCACGAGGTCACAGCTGAGGGACGTCGTGGCAAGTTCACATTTACTCCAAAGTGAATTCATGGTGAGCCTGTTAGTATTCACCCTTCATTGAGCATTTTGATAAACTAGGCACTAGAGGCACATACTCAAATGGCACAACCCTCCACTAAGCAGTAAAAATGGTTACAGTTCAGACGTTAAGTGAAGGGGTTTGAAATCCACCCTGCAGCTCATCAACTATGGACGTGTTCCAAGCAGAATGTGATACCTCAGTTGAGGCAGACTGTGTAGCACATGGGAGGCAAAGGAGTGGCAAGAGGAGCTGGGCCGAAAAGAGCATTCCAGGAAGAAGGCACAGTCTTGCTGTCACTGTTTGGGGAAGTCACTTAATACCCCAGTGTTGTAACTTGGGCAACCGTGTGCTTTTTAATGAACTAAGGAACACAGGAGAAGATCAAATGTGAGATAAAAATGATTATGAGTTTCAGCTAAAAATGATGATGACTCATCAGTGTTGCCTGTGATAACTTAATTCATGAAAACACATTTCTACTCAGAGAGCATGCAGACAGATTAGACCATCTTTGGTCTAATTGTTGCCCAAGGGGAATATCCATTTTATAGATCACTTTGCATCTGGAACCAGTTGTACATCTTAAGCCATAACTGTCGAGAATAATAAATTGATCATGCTAGGGCCAGTTCAGATATTTGCAACTACTCTAATGGTGAAAGATCCATCAATGGGTTAGACCTACTATCAGCCTCATCAAAGATTATTAAGTGTTTAAAGTAAAACACAAACATGCAGGTTTTTTTAAAGTAGACTTTGTAGTGTCATATTTTTGTATATGAAGAAAATAAGACTTAGTAAGATAAAACATCCAGTCAATAACTGCACAGTGAGCCAAAGGTACACCCATTAATTATTCTTTTCTAGAGTTGCCGATAGTCTTTGTTCTTTATGATAAACCCGGGATATAGCGTGCTTTCCTTAAAGGAAGCATGGGGCTGGCAAGGAGTACCGAGGAGGGACCTAATGCTGGAAGGTGACATTGTCAGCGTGAGTCAGAAAACAGGAAGGAGGACGGGAGGGATGAAGATGTCACCAGCCCCGTGGCTTTGCCAAAACAGACGGGCCTCTTTGCAGTCACCGAATATGAATGTGTGGTTTCTACTGATTGTTCAACAATTTTGCTAATTTTGGTAACTTAGACTAAGAATTTTAACATTTAGTTAGAGCAGAGACTGGGGATAAATATTATAACTATCTAGAATAATGCAAGTTTAAGAAATGATATTTTAAAAGTATGCTACTCCTCTTTATAGACCAAGTCTCAAATTCATAATATAGTCAGGCTTTTCTCAAACTTTCAGCTTGACTGAAAACTAGGACAATTTGAATTAGTTTATAGATAATGTCTTTCACTTCAATGAATATTAGGCTTTTGAGCTATATTTTTCAGTGGAGAAAATTTAAATAGCAAAAATATTATTTTATGTGACCTCAAGAGGAAAGGTATTTTATATGACATTAACCTTAGCTTAGCAATCCTTGGTAAGATTTGAGGTTAGAGAACATAGTATTTTGTATGATCAAATGCTTAAATATTTGTTTCAACCCTTTTGAAAACAGCCTTATTGGTTTTGTCGCCAGTCAACTACAGATGCTCACCTTTTTGGTTTACTGCATTTCCACAGAGCCACTTCTGCTTTCATTGTCCTCTCTCCAGTTATTTAAGGCACATGACATATATTCTGACAGAATAAGAACATTTATATTCTTGTTAAGTGGGAGAAAACAGTGCCTGGATGCCCTTTCTTAAAAATATTGCATTTTCAACCATAATAGGAACAGTACAATTATAGACCATTCTTTAATACAAAAAAAAGCATCACTTGAATCAACAAAAGAGCTTTTTATATTTACCATTTGGGAAGGGAGATTTCAATAATCTTAAAAGAGTCACAATTAATATTAAAAGATAATTCTTCAGAGAAATTTTGGGTGCTGAACTTATGTAAAAATTTGAAGAAATTTGAATACATTGTTAAAATATCAACTTTTAGCTTCTTATATATTTTCAGCAATTATGCAGAATGGGATTCTTAAAATATAACCGAAGTTTTATGTTTTTTTAAATAACTGCATATAAAATAGTACTTTCTAATACAGAGAACTGTTTCTTAGAGTCAGCTTGCCAGGGTACAGCCAGTATGTTTATGAAAGGAAGGGTGTTGGTCAACCAGAGGTGGTAGTCTGTTGTTTATAAATGACTTTGAAGTTCAGAGCTTTGGGTCAAATGCCCCCCCCGTGAAGATTTTCTTTGTGGAAGTATTAGATGTACTAATTTGATACTATTCATTTTTGCAGGAAATACCAATGAACTTCGTGGATCCCAAAGAAATTGACATTCCACGTCATGGAACAAAAAATCGCTATAAGACCATTTTGCCAAGTAAGTTTCTTGAATTAAATAGTTTGCCTTGTAAAGCACAAGCCTACCCCCATTTATCCCTACCTCACTATTTCCCACCATCGCAACTTCCACATACACACAAAATTTGGAGTTGCAAATACATATCAAGACTAATAATCTTTAAAATGGTCTAAGGTTAACAACTTTATCTTATATTACTCATATCATAATGGGCAGCTCATAGTTCTAGTACATAGGTGGTTCTAAAATTGTATTGTGCCATACATTACAGTTGATTTTCATTGAAGGTGTCAATCAGTTCAATAGAGGAATGAATAGTCTCTTCAACATCAGGATATTCACATGCAAAAAAATTAAATTGGACCCTGCTCCACACCATATACAAATTAACCCAAAATGGATCAGAGACCTAAAAGTAAAAGCTAAAACTATAAAACTCTTAGTATAAAACAGATGTAAATTCTTAGGACCTTGAATTAGTCAATGATTTCTTAGATATGACACCAAAAGTACAAACAACAAAAGAAAAAATCGATGTGATCTTAATCAAAATTAAAGTTTTGTACTTCAAAGGACACCATCAAAAATAGAAAAATGACTTACAAGATGGGAGAAAACATTTGTAAATTACACATCTAATGAGGGTCTTCTATCTAGAATATATAAGAATTCCTACAACTCACTTATTTAAAAAATAATAATCCAATTTTAAGAATGGGCAAATAGATATTTCTCCACAGAAGATATAACTGGCCAATAAGCCCATGAAAAGATGCTTAACATCATTAGCTATCAAGGAAATCAAAACCACAATGAGATACCACTTCATATCCACATGATTATGATAAAAAAGATAGACAATAGAAAGTGTTGGCAAGGATGTAGAGAAATTGGAAGCTTCATACATTCCTAGTAGGGCTGTAAAAAGGTGCAGCTGCTTAGGAAACAGTCTGCTAGGTCCTCAAAAGGTAAAACCGCTGGTTACTATATGACTCAGACATCCTAATCCTAGGAATACACCCAAAAGAAATGAAAACATGTGTCCAAACAAAAGCTGTACACAAATTTTTAAAAAGCATTATTCGTAATAGTCCCCAATGTGGAAACAACCCAAATGTTCATCAACTGATGAATGGATAAATAAAATACAGTTTATCCACACAACAGAATATTATTCAGCAATAAAAAGGAATGAGGTACTGATGCATGCTAATGTGGATGAACCTTGAAAACATTACGCTAAGTAAAAGTCATCACAAAAGACTTTATATTGTATAATTTCACTTACATGAAGTGTCCAGATAGGCAAATCTATAGAGACAGAAACTACATTAGTGATTGCCTGGTGTTGAGAGGCATGAGAAATGACTGCTGAAAGCCATGGAGTTGATTTTTAGAAAAAGAAAATGTAACTCATGGGCACAGACAAAACAGTGTGGTGTTTGCCAAGGGGAGAAGTGGTGGTGGAAGGAGACTTGACTTAGGGTAGTGAACACAGTGCAGTGTACAGATGATGTGTTGTGGAATTGTGCACCTGAAACCCCTACAGTTTTCTTAACCAGTGTCACTCCAATACATTCAACAAAAAGGAAACAAAACGGAAATGTTGTAAAACTGATTGTGGTGGGGATTGCAAACTGTGAATAAAAATAAATAAATAAACTCTGCGATGGCTCACTTTAAACAGGTGAATTGTAGGGCATATGAATTATATCTCAATAAAACTGTTACCAAGAAAACTTCATCTTGCATAACAATTGCCTAGAGTTCTCATTAAAAATCCTGAGTCCTGTACCCACCCTGGGAATTCTGTGTAAGTAGGTCTGCTGTTGGGCCCAGGAATCTGTGCTGTCCTAGCAAACACTCGTGACTCTCGCTCAGGACCACGCTTGGAGTAATACTGCTGAAGACTGCGCTAAAACTAAATTTAGCTCCATGAACCTTATCGATGTCAGATATGTGCTGGATGCCAGGAGCCAGCCAGGAATAAGGAACAGTCTATAAGATTAAGGAGGCCATGGACTAGAGAGGAGAGATGTAAACAAGTAATTACATTCAATGTAATGAGCCAGATAGAGACCTGGCCCAAGTGATGTAGGACTAAAGAAAAGACTGAGTAATTTATTCTGACTAGAGTGTCAAAAATACTTTGGAGAGGAAGTAGCATTTTGAAACACTAAACATTTTGAAACACAAAAAAGATATAGTTGGGGTTTTGGCAAAATCCATAAACATCTCATGACAATAGCTCCAGAAAGATAAAACCACTAAGATTTTTTTTGNGAGTGTCAAAAATACTTTGGAGAGGAAGTAGCATTTTGAAACACTAAACAAACAGATATAGTTGGGGTTTTGGCAAAATCCATAAACATCTCATGGGAATAGCTCCAGAAAGATAGAACCACTAAGATTTTTTTTTAAGTATTGACATTGAAATAGTGGAGTCTTCATAATTCAGTCCATTAATTCACTCATAAATTTTCCATAGGTATGGTAATAGCAAGACATGGTGTCTTTGGGCTTCCTCTTCTGGTGGACTTGGAAATGCCTTGTTAAAGTCACTCTACTATAGGATATTTTTAATTGGTCCATACAGTTAAATCTATTTACTTAAGGTATAGTCACTGTGAAAGATATTTTATAACGATAACTGGCTGAATGGGATGAAACTGATTTGTGTTAGGACTGCTTTCTCTCTCTCTCTGTGTGTGTTAAGATTTTTTTTCATTTAAAATTTACCAAACATAGGTAACTAGGGCATGTACATCCATCGCAGTTATTATATTTACCCATCTAATCTCAGAAGGATTTGGAAATTATTAATATTTTTTCTAAGTTCAGCCTTCTCTATTTCCTGCCCAGATGATATCAGACAACTGCTTCATAGGCCTGTGTCAGCTTTTCCATTCCCAGAACTGGGTGGATTGCTTGAGCCAAGGCACCTGTGCTGACAACTGATGTTGTAAATGATGGATTTTCTGTTGAAAATGTCTGTAGCTTGAATACCAACCCCACACTCTGTTGCACAAAACATAATTTAGTAAATATGGCTTGGACAAGCCACACCATTGGCTGAACATCATCAGAAAAAGACTAGCGTAAATATGCAAAATTGTTCTATATGGCTTATTTTGGACTCTAATCTGAGATAAGTTTNAAAAGACTAGCGTAAATATGCAAAGTTGTTCTATATGGCTTATTTTGGACTGTAATCTGAGATAAGTTTGAAATATTACATAAAAATAATTAGCAAATTATTAAGATTTTAACTGTTACGATTGTATTGTTTTGACCTATCATAAGGTTTTTTTTACATTCAATATTATTTTATATTAGTTTCAGGTGTACAGCATAGTGGTTAGACAATCATATACTTTACAAAGTGTTCCCCCTAGTATTTCCAGTACCCTACCAGCACCATACGTAGTTATTATAATATTATTGACTATATTTCCTATGCTGTACTTTATATCCCCATCACTCTTTTACAACTACCAATCTCTACTTCTCCATCCCTTCACCTTTTCCACCTAGTCCCCCAACTCCCCCTTCTTGCTGGCAGCCATCAGTCTGTTCTCTGTGTGTATGAGTCTGTTTCTGTATTGTTTGTTCATTTATATACAATAACCTTTTCACTTTTGAAGCTTGTCAGCTTGTACATAATAGTGAGGTTACATAATTTTGAGAATGTTTTGCAACAGAAATGTGAATGGCCAAGAACCAGTTAAATTATAGCTGCTTCTCTGAGGACAGTGTCAGCCCAGCTCAGAACACTCTAAGTGGTAGATTAAAGTGCTANCCAGTTAAATTATAGCTGCTTCTCTGAGGACAGTGTCAGCCCAGCTCAGAACACTCTAAGTGGTGGATTAAAGTGCTACAGTCAAGTTTATATCAAATTATTTTCTGCCCAGCCAGCATGGCTCAGCGGTTGAACACTGACCTAGGATCCAGGCGATCGGGGTTCGATTCCCGGTCAGGGCACATGCCCGGGTTTTGGGCTTGAACCCCAGTCGGGGGCGTGCAGGAGGCAGCCGATCAGTGACTCTCTCATCATTGATGTTTCTGTCTCTTTGTCTCCCTATCCCTTCCCTTCTCTGAAATCAATAAAGATATATTTTTAAAAAATTATTTTGCAATATAAACAAACATTAGTGATGAGCATATGTTTACATTCTAAATCACAAAAGCATTGGGGAAAAACTGACCATATATTAATATGAAATTGTTTGTACAACAATGAAGTATAATAATAATAAATTTTATGTATATTTCTTTCATGTAGTCAACTTATTTATGTGAATATAAAACAATATATATAATTAAATAACCCTATTTGTTCTGGCCATTTTAGATTTAAAATTTTAATGTCTAGTAATGTTTCCTACTTAAATTATCTTTCTCATTTTATTATATTAAGTGCATAGATCAGAATAGAAAATAAATTACTCATTAAGACAAGTTATGTAGCTATAGCAAAATATTGGAATTAGATTTGATTTCCTACCCTGGCAAAACATTTACAATTTAAGGCAGACTACTTGATCTTCCTGTGTCATCCTTTCTTTATTCCTAAAAAATAGTGATAATAATACTTCCCTATAGGACTATTGGGAGAATTAAATGATAGTATGTATAAAATTCCTAGGAAAGTTCCAGCTAATTGTAAGCCTTCAGCTAATGTTAATTTCTCCTTTCCCTCTCTAACAAACAAGATGAAGCCATCGTTAACCCCAGAACCAATTCCAGAAAGTAGGGACACTGTTTATATAGAGAAAAATTTACAGTTGCAAAAACAACATATTCAAGAGCCCTGTTTTCTTTTATAATTTTCAAAAGGAACTTAAAAAATGAGTTTCTATTTAATCACATTTTCCATTTCCAAGATCAACACTGTCCACTAAAATGCTCTGCAATGATGGAAATGTTTTAAATCTCCACTGGGATAACCACTAGACACATGTGGCAATTGAGTGCTTTAAGTGTAGTTACTGCACCCGAGGAAATGACTTTTAAATTTTATTTTAATTAACTTTAATTAGCTACATGTGGCTAATGGCTACCATGTTGGACAATGAAGAGCTGGAATCCTCTCTCTCCCCTGCATTAAATTTGAAGATGACTGTCAGTCACCTTGAAGGTGTGGTCAGTCCCTACCTTTCCTTTCATTCCCCATGTATCTCGAATTCACCTGTGAAAGCGACTCTGTTCCTCTCCCCCCTGCCTTTGCCCATCACTAGCAGTCATACTCGTGTCCCTCGCCTAATCATTTCTTCTCTTGACTTCACGCTTCAAACATATTTCTTCCTGGGGACGAAATCTTAAGCACACAGAATAGCCTTTGACCAAATCCTACATGGTGCTAATCAAAACACCAGGACCCAGGTACCATGTTTGTGAAATAGAAGACTTAGGATTACCAGAGGTATTTAAAGAGACCAGGATGGGGAAAGGTCACATGTTCTACTTTTCAGATCCATATGTGTTCAATAATTTGGTAAGGGGAAAGAAAGAAACAGGAAGGAGGGAAGAAGGGAGGTGAGAAAGACAAGAAGGAGACA